AAAAAAATGTACTTCAAACCCCAATGTCCATCTGGATTTGAAACAAAACAGGGTTCAGGAGTTATTGCCATAATCTTTTTATTAATAGCTGTGTTCCTTCTAAGACCTTTTAATTGTGTATTTGTAGCTCTTTTTTTTGTTTATTCATAGTCATTTGAATATTTGTAAGATTATAATAGGGCATGCAGTGTTTTAAAAGCCAAATATATTTTTCTAGCCAGTAAGTCTTCGTAAGTATTACATTAATTAGAGGCTTTAAATAAGCTTCCAGAAATATTCACTCATTCTATGATTCATGGTGTACAAGAGTCTGAATTACATTTAATTTTGACAATAAAATTATAACCTTTTGTTATAATACATACATGTAGCAGAATGTAAAGCAATGTTTTACATACCATACATCAATTAAAATTACAGTACCATTCTTCAGTTCTTTGCAGCAGATGTGACCTTTGACCATGTACTGCATATTCCCAGTCACGGGTCCTTTGACCAGATGACACTGACCAGTAAGTTTAGGTTGTACTGGTTTGTGAATGTAAGCATATTTCAGATATCTTCTACAGGATTCTATAGATATTGATTTCCAGGTGTCATGTTGCTCACTATTCATCCACTCCTATAACAACAACTTGATGGTGTTTTTTTGTTTTTGTTTTTGTTTTCCCTCTATCCACTGCCAGCCAGTTGCTACAAGAAGTCAAATTCCCTTTTTAATTAAGTTAGTCAATTCTATATTATATATAAAGATTACATTTTTCAGAGATATTCTGCCCTGAGACTTACATTACTGTATTTCCATTAATGATCATCAACTTCTGTACCTCTAGCAATCCTACCTTTTAAATATATTTATTACATACTATTTAGAATGTCAATAGTTCTTTCTGTGTGATAGTTTAAGAATGCTATTGCCATTGCCAGTGGTATCATTCAAAATGGAAAAAGGTTCAGGACTATCACCACCAAATTGGAAGTGCTTTCATGCATAAATAGAGAATTGTGCAGCAAAATTCAATCTTGTCTACAAAAACAATGGGTTGGATTGGAGTGAAGATGTTCCTCAAAAATTTAATAGATCACCAAAAAAGATAATTATTTATTAATAGAAGTGTTGTTTCAATATCTCTCTTAATTGGTAATTATCCAATTAATCTATGCACTTACAGCCTATAAACCATGAACTTGATGGTAGCTGTAGTTGTGTGCTGGTCAGTTGAGACAGTGGCGTGCCATGGTGGGAGGGTGCCATTTTTAATCTGAATTATCCAGATGGAATTTTTAGTTGTACCGATCTGGAAACAATCTGATATTTAGCACTATTTGCAACAAACACTTATGCCTGCCAAAATTTCATGGATCCTGGTAGAAGATATAAGATTCCTTGGTCAGAGACAGAAGGAAATATTCTTACTCCCAGTGAGGGCGAAAACCTGAGTATCAGGGGTTGTATAGAATGATGGAAGGAGAGCCAGCAGACACATGCCAATGCAGAGGGGATTTTCATATAAAAGGAATTGTGATTTTGGGCAATCTAAATATTTTGTGTACAAACATTTCTGCTCTTTATTCCAAAGGGATATATGATCTCTTATCTTCCAAGCTGTAAGCAAATGTTTTCGTTGTTCCTGAAAGAGACACTATCTTCCAAGGCAGTTCCCTACATCCCTACACAAACATTCTTAAAAAGATTTCTCAGAACAAAATGCAGCTGGTGCCTTAGTTGCAAAATAGCAGACGCAAGAGAGGCCCACTGAAAATTTATCCCCAAAATATCCACTTTTTCTTTCTATACTGTCTTTACTTCGAGAGAATTTTTTGAGGTTGCCATTTTATTGTCCATTCTAATTTTTGTCACAGAGATGGAACCAAATACATTTAGTTTGTTCAATACAGCATTTAAAGTCCATTTGCATGACATCCATTGTAGGGATTACTTCCCATAAAATACACAGTATAAATATAGTAATCCCGATAGAAACCCCACCAATTAACCAAGAGTGGCCCTTAGAGAGATCTTTAAAGTCATCTTGGGATTACAGGATGAAAAGATGATGTTTCCTGAAATAATTCAATTTCTCTTATGATCATTATGAAATCATAGTTCATAATGTTTTAGGAAAGGAAACACTTTAATTTATGTCTTCCATATAGAAGGTACAATTCTATGATCACACATTGTGTTTCTGAAAAGAAAGTGAAATTTAAGATTATGGAAGCCTTTCAGGTGGAAACTGTGTAAGTTGAGGACACAGTGTGATACTGTTTCCAACTTAGCCTCTCAGCCAGCCAATCAATGACTCTTAATTCAGGCACTCCTACCAGTTAAATGGGTGGCTTTTTGTTTCTACTGACAAAGAAACATAAGGTTCAGACCACGTAGTAAGGGTGGCGGGAAGGTTTCTGATTGCCCCTATATTTGGCCCCAATGACAGTAAAGTAACCTGCTTGTGTATGTGGGAGTTGCTTTTGCCAGATTTTTCTCTTAGAGGGTTTTGAATATACCACTGCTACTTCCCAAGTAAACTTCATTGAGTTGCCCTCTCCTGATTAATACCTCTCTAACATTGCACATAACATGATCAGTATTTCTACTCTTAAAAGTTTCTGATGACATTGCCTTATTGA